TTGCTCCGTCACAGTGCGTTTTAGTGACGGTGGCAGTGTTAGTGTCAGTGTATCAGTGTGTCTAGAGCTGAGAGTTGAGCATTGGCCTGTTTTTTAGTGGTACCCACTGAGCACGCAGGCGTACACCCTTCTCGTGTAACATCCGGGGAGACACTGACGGTCTTGCCTCCACGAGCCACCACGCTCCGCTCTCTGAGACACACACACACACACACACACACACACACACACACACACACACACACGCACGCACGCACTCACGGACAGAACAGTGGACTCTATGCGTTATTACTGCGCTGTTTATGTCATATATATGTGGTTCGAGCTGATGAGGCGCCACTTTATATACTAAACAGCTCAGTTCAAGAATACTAAGATGGGCAGTAAGAAGGGACAACGTCAAGATGGGAGACACTACTCCCCACCATCTTCTCCTCTACCGGGCACAGATGGAGCTTCTGCGCCCAACGCCCCTCATCCTTCACCTACAGCGACGGACATTGCAACAATTCTGAGGTGGATGGATCACAGAGACGAGCGACGCCGAGAGATGGAACTTCAGAGGGAGGAGACATGAAGAGAGGAGGAAAAGTCGCATTTTGATGCACTATTGGCGACCCTGGAGCTAACCCACCCTCCCTCACTCGCAGGTTTCGCACACCAAGGCACCAATATCCTCCCTCCTCCACCACACCAGCGTCCTCCAGGTACTCTTGCTACTCCAACAGCTCCCAAGGCATTTGTTCAATCCCCACCCGCCCTCTCACCAGACGTCACATTTCAGCTTTTTCGTGAGTGGAGGCGGCGTTGGACAGATTACTCCACGATGGTGGACCTTAACAGTATGCCTCCAAACAAACAGCTCATCCAACTGCGGATGTGTTTGTCGCTGGAGACCCAGAGAGTTTTGGAGCACACGTTGCAAGTGCCTCCCGATTCTACCTCTTCAGTGACGGATGTGCTCGACCTTTTGCAGGAGCATGTTAAGGGTCGGAACAACGAGGCTTTGCATCGCCGCGCCTTCACCAGCTGCACGCAGGCGGAGAATGAATCCTTTGACGACTTTTTTGTACACTTGAAGAGTTTGTCGGAGGAGATCGACGTCTGCAAGGCGCATAGCCGGAATGTGAGGCAGCCTGGATCAAGCACGGGATCTTGGCAGGTGTCAGGCAAGAAGAGTTGGTGCAGCGACTCATCCCCCTGGACGCTTCCTCCACACTCCAGGTGGTAGTGACTGAACATCGGTCATACGAGGCCACCAAGTCCATCACCTCTGCCTTACGGGCCCCACCTGCTGTGAGAGCTATCTCACAATACAAGAAGGGTAAGAAGGTGGCCAACAACGTGAAGGCTGCCGCACGTTTTCCACGCCCCCGCCTAGTGCTTCCTGTGGCAGCTGTGGAAAGCAGCATGGCCCCAAGACATGCCCGGCCGCCGACGCACTGTGTCGTGGATGTGACCGTAAGGGCCACTGGTCTAACACAGACAGGTGCCCTGCACGAGGCCGCAAGTGTCAGGCCTGCGGTCGCTATGGACACTACGACAAATGCTGCCGCCAACCCAAGCCCAAAAGCCCGAGACGAGGAGGAAAGCAGCGCACTTCCCTCGGAGTGGTTCGCACGCAGCGCCCTTCAGATGGCCACGCAGCCCCAAGCAGCAGCTGAGTCACATCAGAAGGGTGGACTCGACCACACGCCCCAGGGCTACCCCTTCCCCTAACATCCGCGTCGCCGTCACACACGGTGGTGTGTCGGGTCACATCGAGGTGATACCGGACACCGGCGCTGATACTACGGTGAAAGGCTTGAAGCACCTCCAGAAACTGGGCCTCACCAAACGCGGCCTGGGACCACCGCCACAGCTGCAGTACTACAATGCCGACGGTTCCCAGATGCCGGACGCTGTGGGCTCCTTTCAAGCGGAGATCACTTACGGCGACAGGTCATGTCACGGATGGATCGACATGCAGCCTACTCTCGCTACACCCTTGTTGTCGTGGGAGCACTTTCCCGAGCAGATCCCAGCCGCTCGGTACACCACCAGCAGGGTGCGTGAGTCAACGAGCGACGCGCCTGGCACTGCCGCACAGAGCTGCCCAGAACCCGCGTCCACTCCCACCCACACAGGACGCTCCCCTGCCCAGATCCTGTATGGTCACCCTCTCCACTCTTGCGTTCCTGCACACGCCAAGGCCTTTGCGAAGGACTGGCAGACCAGAGCCGAGAGCTGTGACCGCCGCGCCGCTACACGTGCCCAGGACGCCAAGGCTCGGTATGACGACCGTGCCCACCCTCTTCAGCCACTGGAGATTGGTGCCCTTGTCCGCGTCCAGGACCCGACGACGACACGTTGGGACAAGGTGGGCATAGTAATGGGCGTCGGCCGGTCGCGGGACTACAAGGTCAGGATGCCGAGCGGCCGTGTCTGGTGGAGGAACCGCCGCTTCCTCCGGCAAGTCCCACCCCCTGCTGCTGGCCCCCCTGACCGAGGACGAGTCACCTACACCTCACGAGGATCCGCCCCATAGTGCAACTCGACGCTCGGAGCGACTTAGGACTAAGAAGTCCGCTAAAGACAAAGACTATGAGCGTGAGGGGGGTAGGGAGATGTAGGTTATGTATCTAAGCTACTGTGCCGAGTAGCAACCTTGTATATAAGCTACTGTGCCGAGTAGCACCTATGTATATAATTACGTGGCAACACTGCACGTGTTATGTGGCAACATTGCCCCGAGGCTGCCATATGGCAAGGCAGTCTCAGTCTGACTCTGTGGGCCGTGCATGGCACACGCAAGTCACCACTTGTATTTCTCCTATCCGAATTAATGGACTTCAGTGTTACCCGGTGTTTCCCTACCCATCACTGCATTCTTCAGGGAACACTTGGATCCTTCACTTGGAGCTTCAAACACTTCAGGAGCTTTGAACCACATTGGACCGTACACAAGAGCAACAAAAAGGGACATAGTCTGAATCAGCTTCTTCTCCTTGATAGTTAGCTGGAACTGGTGCTGAAACATGAATATCTGGAGAGAGTATAATGCTTTAGACATCCAACGAGCATGGTGTACTGGGCCAAGCTTTCCATAACGAATCCCTCGGGGCGGAGTCCCACCCAGGAATATCACACAAAGTTCCATAAGTCGGATGTAATCGTCCCGGGGCTGAGGCTGCTTGAGAGCCTTCATATAGTAGTCGATAACTTTTTGCACCTATTCAGAATTTTCCTTCAACACTGCAGTGATATACCCATTAGTCTCTCCCGTCTTGAACTCCAACTGCTTGATTTGATGCCACTGCTTTTTAAACCTCTAGAACAAGAGAACATCAGGACCATTAGATGACCCATGAACGGCTTTGAAGACATCTCTAAGAACAACTTCCAAGATATGGTGTCTGCAAGGAAGGTATAGGAGATTTCTTCCCAATCTCTCTTCAATCAAGGTACAAGCTCCACGAACATGACCAGTGTTAGCGGCAGTGGTGTCAAAGCACATGGCGACAACCTGGTCATCGACATTCCAATCTTTCAAAGTATCCACCACAGCATTAGCTTGCGCCACTCCCGTTCCTGAAGATAGGTGTGGAACGCCAAATAACTGGACATTCCCTACTGAAGAGGATACATCTTTCCCTGAGATCAGTATTGAAAGTCGTTCAACAGATTCCTCTCCTATTAGAGATGGAAGGAGCTTACCATCCCAATGAACCACAATTCCAGTCTTGGCTCCAGAGGATATGACAGTTTGCTTCACAGAAGCAGTGTGATCTCTACGATATCGGTTACTGGCTCTCCTGATTGTGGAACGGTCTGCTGCAGTAGCTGCCACAATATGAAAAGCCTGTCGGTCACTTGTATTGGCTCTGTCCAAGGCAGCAGCTCCAAGCAATGATATATCCTTCCTCAAACAACTTCATTACTATGGGGAGAAAATAGATGATTCAGTTGGAATGGCAGCAACAAAGGCTTTCCAGCGGCATCTCTGATATTTAAGTGATGAGTCAGTAGCTCTGGCTCTCTTCAGTGATAGTGTTTCGTATGCTGAGAAAAGAGAAATCCTTGAGTCAATGAAGGGAAAGAACGAGAAAAAGGAATGTCCAAAGAAGCTGAAAGTGACAAAAGAGGAAATTCCATCACTGGAGCTTAAAAACCTTGCATCCACAAATACTAACTACTTCTTTCAAACCACGCTCCTGGATTCTGGATTCGTCTCCAAAGATCCAAGCCAATGGAATGACGAACCACAGTTCCTTCAGTCAAGGGAAATTCTACAAGAGTTGCAGGTGGTGAATGATGTGGCCGAAAGAGCGGTGAAGCTTATCCAGGACTACAACTCTTCAATTACGAAAAGAGAAGATCAAAAGCAGTACCTGCTTCAGGTGGTCACCACACATCGACGTCAGTATCCCAACATAAAGAAGGCTAATCTTGTGTGATGTATGTTTCTCTTACATGTGTTCTTTATGTTAATCTCATATTTTGGATAAAATAAACACCAACAAATAAATGTAACAAATAAATCACTTGTATCTGATGTCAGGAACAAGAATTATTTTATAGAGGGAGAAAACATTAGAGAAGTAGAATTTTCGGGCCACTTGTGCATATCGTAAATGAAGCTGTAAGTACCTATAATTTCGCCTGAAATGTTTTTTCATGTAAAGGACGCAAATAAACATTGAACACTAAAAATATAAAGAACTTTACCTTTTTTGAACCACCCTAATACACACACACACATATATATATATATATATATATATATATATATATATATATATATATATATATATATATATATATATATATATATATATATATATATATATATATATATATATATATATATAAAATACATCACTAGTGTTTGTGTGTGTATGTATATATTTGAATATGTAAAGTAAGAATAATACAACACTGTAGTAACAAATTTTCACTGTATTTAACAGGTCAATGATTATTATAGCTCGCATTACTGAGAAGCTAACTCTGGTACCCACCTGAAGATAAGATAATTCGTGGTCGACCTCATCTGCTTGTTGGCAATGATGACAATGACGACCAAAGTGTTGCCGAAGAGGCCCACCAAGACAATGATGCCGAAGATAATGGGCACGACGATGGCAACGATGATGGCATACTCGAAGGCCGGGTTTTCCTGAAGAGAGATGCAAACTGTAAGTCCAGATGAACAAGTTATTATCGCGTCAGTTCTATGTTCTCCCAGATTTATTACGGAATTGAATAAGTCTTCTCGCTAAAGCATACATGTGGTGCCATTGTTATTATTATTCTTTGATATATGAATGATTTTATCGCTATAGTATGTAGTATTTTTGTCGTCTCCCATTCATTTACTTTGAAATATATAATAGTGAAATTATTACTTCATTCGTTATTTTTATACACAATGTAAACATATATGGAAATAATTATAACCTCAAGCAATTATTCACAAGTCTATGATTAAGAAAAAATGTATTTGTGAATGCAGATGTGTAGGAATAAAAAATAATAATATTTTGTAATTTAGATCATAAAAGTTTGTATTTATTTATGGAACAGATTAAGAGTTAAACTTATATGCATACATGTTAAAAATATTAATACTCAAACACATAAAAAAACACTTGGTTAAATATATATCTTGTGTTCACTTGTGTCCTGACCACCTGAGGCTGCGTGGAACAGACTGTTGGCCCCAATACCCCTCCCATCCTCCTCTCAATCTATTCTCTCTACTGGGATATTACCAAAATCCCGCTAAATGTCACAATTTTGTTTCGGAAAAGGGTGGAATCAGGTTTAAACAGTGATTAACAGTGTTAAGGGAAGTGACGAAGTTAACCTTCACACCCACCATTAAGTTCCCTGGATACCCACATAAAACCGCCCATGGGGACCTTAAGTACCATTATTTCCCTGCTTAAAATACTACAATTCAGTTTCCAGAATCCTTTACCTACTTTTACATTTTTGTCAATGTTTACTTTTGACAGAACCATTGAATGGTCAGAAAAAACTGACTGGAACAGTATCACATTTTACTATTTTGTTCTCAAGCCCCTTAATATAAAGCCTATCAATTCTTGACCCATATTTATCCCTAACATATGTAAACTCAGGTTGATAGTTATGTATCATGGCAACATCCTCAAGTCTTATATCCTTTATAAGAGTTGTTAAAGCTTTGGACACCAAACCTTTGTTGTCATAATTGCTACAAATCTCTCCGGTAACACAGTTAAAATCTCCCCCAATCATTATATTTTCAATATTATTTCGGATATAATATAATAAATCATCAGAAAACAATTCTTCTCTTTCCCTTTTCCTTGTATTTCCCGATGGGGCATAAATATTAATAATAGGAATTATATGATCTAACACGGAAACTCTGACACATAAAATTGGCCATTCTCATCCATCTCATAGTTTAATATTTTGAAAGTGGAATTTTTTCCTTACTAATAGTGCAGTTCCTCCTTTTAACAAATGTGTACTGTTTATAATATTTTCGAAGTAATCATTTAGGTTATATTATTTCCCTGGATCCTTAACATTATGTTCATGTATCATAAGGAGGATAAATGCAGGGGACAAACAATGGGAGCCAGGAGATGAGAGACCCGTTGTTGGAAGAATTTAGATGAGATGGAATACAAAGGACAGAAGTGCCTGGAGTAAATTAGTCGCTCTCACTGACAAACTTTATACCTAATTGAACATTGAAGGGTAGAGAGAGAGGGAGAGTACTGACCTCTACCGTGTTGTTGTTACAGAGCGGCAGGTTGGTGTAGTTGGTTAAGTTACAGAGGATATACGGAGGAAGGAATGTGAGGAAGGGTTCGATGCCATTCTCCTCGTCCGTGTCTGCTCCTCCTCCTCCTCCTTCCCCTTCCTTCCCCATCTCTGCTAAGTAGTCCATCGTTCACGTTTAACTGCAAGAGCTGATCTATTTATGTGTCCACTCACTTTACGGCTGCCATCAACTAAAGTTCATTTATTGCACGACCTTACGATATTTATTTCACAAAGTTTGTTTCAGTTGCAGTGAACTTTATTTTTGTCACCTGTATGCCAGACAAACCTACAATGTTCAAGTCCTGCATACACATTAATTATCTAATGGCGGTTCCAACATGTAGATATGTGTCATTTTAAATATAAAATTCCAAATTAACTTTGGGTCGTTGTTTGGGTGCACAGCACATATCCGGGTCCAGCCACTTTAATTGTTTACTCTAAACTCAACTAGGCTTAATTGACTAAATAACGAGAATTTGTTTCCAATACACTTGATAAGTATACACCATTAGGCATATTATGACACTTCATACTGGAGTGTATTACACACATTTCAGTTCTCAACACAAGTATTTTGTTTACTGTATAAAACTTGACGTCTTAAAAATAAGCACTGTAACAACGCAACAGGGAAATATTTCTGTCTGCCAGTTAAGGACTTCAGATGTGTTATTTCTCACATGATAGGCATTCGTAAAAGAGGATTCCAGTAATATTTTACACCTTCACATTGTTTGTTTTTCCCATAAATCGTTCCTTCAATGGGAATTATTTTTCAAGCTCATCGATCATACTACGCTCAAAAAGTATTTGACAGTTCTTGCTTTTCAACGTTTATTAAAACATGTGTGCTAGTGTCTCTACTGTCGGCTGACATCAGGCGATATTCTGTGATGTGTTGGCCAGGTGCTCGTTGGATCTTCCCTGATGTACAGCTGACCACAGGTGCTGGTACCCAGTACAAGAGATGTATTCTGTAAAAGAAACATAATCCAGATTACAGACTGTATGACGTATGATATACATATCTTTAAGGTCAAAACGAACGAAACACATTATATGATCTACTAGTCGGTCCCACATCCCACATCTCTCATCATCATTACTTGTATTAATTTCCTTCTTTGCTTGATCACCCGAATAAATTAATAATATATGAACATTTACTGAAGCATAATATTTGTTAATCTTATTATCAGTTAAGCTCGGGCAACAATCGCTGATCATTGTTGAGCAAAATTACCCTCCACAGGTGAACGAGATCCAAGGAATTTATATATATATATATATATATATATATATATATATATATATATATATATATATATATATATATATATATATATATATATATATAATTTTTTTTTTTTTATATAAAATCACACAGGAAAAGGGGAAACAATGGAGCACCTTAACTTTCGTCTTTATTCAAGACATCTTCAGAGGCAACTGAATTACAAAGACTGAGAAAGAGTTTATGCACACAGGGTGACCTTACAAAACATGAGGTCAGGTCAAAAACATGACATCCACTAATCCACACACCAACACCACCGCAAACATAGGAAGAGATTATAAGAACAGGCGACATAACTTGTCATATCACGTCAGGTAAAAAATAAGAGACCCACTAATCATCTATCATACATCTACCTCAAATGCTTTCAAAGCATTTTTAACGTTGGGCCACTGACATATAAATTTGTGTAACATATTATTAGTTTTGTACTGACCATCACTAAGGTTTAAAGAATACATTTATATAATCAAACTTGCTTCAACTAGAAGTCCTTCTGTGACACATGATGATTTATAAGCTTCTAAACTGTTTTCTCAATCTATGGGATGATTATTGTTCCTTATATGAACGAAAAATGCACTCCTTTAAGATGCCGTTCTAATATTGTTCTAATGCTGTTTAATTCTAAGTTACAATGCTTTCCCAGTCTGACCTACATAATTTCCATTACAATTGCTTCATGGAATACAGTAAACACTTCCATACGCGGTAGTACATCGGTTGACCACGTGTACTGGAGAAAATATCTTAATGTAAAGATATTGGCCGGAATCCCTGGGAATCAAAATGACAAGGCACCATCAAATTTCCTTCCTAGCTCTTCACCTAATGAAGTCAGTTGTTCATATTATAAGAAAGTAGGCCATCGTGTTTCCCAATGTCGGGACTCATCTTGGGGAAATTCTGTCCGTTTTGGACAAGCGAAAGCCCCTTTCAAAACTACGATTATTCCATTTAAATCCAAATCAGTATCACGTGTTAAAGTAAAATCTTTAAATTCTCACATGGATCATTTTAAGGATTTTAAATCCGAGGTTATTTTTTTTTACCCAAAAGAATAAATTTTATCGTATGACCATTCTAACAGACACAAGATCAGTTTAAAGCCTCCTGATGAAAAGCTCTCTGTCTGATGTAGAAAATAATTACACGAGGAGAAGTGTGATCACGCATAATATTTCTTCCACCCCGTCAGCAGAGACTGTTCATGAGCACCTAGAGTGTAAATTATTTGTAAAAACTGTTCTAGTTGGAATCAGAGAACAGATGCTTCCAATTTTTGAAAATGGCCTTGCAGGTTCGGAAGCAACAAAAAAATTTGACGTAGCTCAAATTCCCTTAACTTCAATTCCCACGGTTATTGAAGACCGGTGTCATCCAAATGTTCTCCATTTTGTGTGCAGTCACTCGAGCACTAACTCCTACTGTGGTTGCTTCAACATTGGATATGTTTTATCATCCTAACCAAACCATGTCAAAGAAAGATTTAATTCAAAGTCAAGACAGTTTTTACAACAGCACCACAGAATCGCTGCAAGCTACTGGAGGGAATTAGATTACTTGTCCTGAGTTTTACTGTTACCAAGGAATCATTATGAGATGTAGAAGACCTCCAAATACAGTGATACAGATACTTAGTTGGAGGTACAGTTCAACACAGAAGTTTGTGGTACACTCCAGGTGGAGGGTGCAATCTTATTGTACGGCGGGTCACTGAATGACCTACAGCCCCAACACACAAACTAGCACTGGAGCAGTTTAAAATTTGCTTTATATCATTTTATACTCTCTAAAAAAGCTAAGAAAAGAAGAATAAGCATCACTATAAGCCGATGGGTCTATTGATGGATGATGAAGTTAGGTGATGTTAATATCCTGTATTAGAGATGAACTTACCTCCAGATTTGGACCCCCTGTGCCTTGGTGATACAGTCCTTAAACGTGAACAAAATGAAAAATTATTTTGGGTTATTGTTGATAAACTAAACTGGAGAAACGACATACAAGCCATTCACAGTAAAGTCAATAAACAGTGCGGTGTCCTGCATCACACTCGTCAGTCACTCAATCTTGCAGCAATGAAAGAAATCTATTATGATCTTGTTTACTAACACTTGATACACTGTCACTCACTATGCTGGGCCTCTGACTCCACAAAAACACAACCCCTGATCACTGCACAGAAGAGAGTTGTGCAAACATTGACCTCTTTGAAAAAACCCTGATCACATCAACGAACAATTTGCTAAATTTAAAATGTTAAAATTCGAGGATATTAACACTTAATGCTGTGCCTTATTTTTTTGTAAATCTGTCAATCACTTGATTGACAATTATTATTTCCAGTTCAGGAATAATCAGAGGTGCAACTTACGACACCCAGAGCTAAGGCCATCCCCCCATGCGCTCCTCTCAGTCCCAGGCCTCCATAAAATATCATGGTGTGGAACTACTTACCCCCACCCATCCGAGCAAGGACTACGCTCCCTTCCTTTAAATCGTCTCTAAAAAGGTATCTATTGTCTGAGAATTAATATTTTTGTAACACTTACTTTATACTCTTACTTTTATTGTACCACCAAAACCATTATATCATTATAATGTAGATATAGAAATTACCATTTAGTAGATGTTCTAAGGGTGAAAATACTTTACTTTCGAGTACAGAAACGATTCTAAGACGATTTAATAAGCATACAGGGAACAAGCCATGAAATTTACACTACAGTAATACATAGTACACATGAAACATATACTCGTACATAAAACAAGTCATGAAACATACACTACTGTACTACATAATATAACAATTCATAGAACACGACATGACACCTTGATTTTGTTCCCAACCTGCACTACCAAAAAAAAATAAAGAGAGTTCTTAGATGAATATATATATTATACTGCAGGAACATATACCATGGGGTATCATATTGTTATATAAAAAGGAGAGTTTATTGGGATTTGCCATTATAAAAGTCAACTAAAGAATGCATATAACTTTAAGTTCTACAAATAATTAATTACTTTGGCAATTTGTGCGTGAAACACCATAGAACCTATATAGAAGTCTGTTTCCAGTTTTAAAGTGAAGGCGATCAAGTGCAGTATTGACCAAGTTGCCTCACTGTGTTCCGGAAACTTAGTATTCAGTGTGCTATATTCACACTTCCCTTAGTCGTTACAGTTTCTTGTTAAGTAGAGACGTTAAATAATGGACTACTGCTGTGTATGGATGCTCACTACTTTAATATTTTGTTGTTATCATGTTCAAAGATAAACTAGAGCATGGTGCTAATGGTTGGTCAGAGCTATATAATTATATAACAAAAATATGAAACCCACGCAAGATTGGAACGTGCCAGTAAAACAGTAGTGATGATTAAGATAATAGTGATGCAGGTCTTAATTAAATGTAAATTAGATATGTGGCGTCAGTAAGTGCAACTGTCATATGATTGAGATTTGAGTATACCCTGCGCTGCCAGTGTCTTAACTGTCTTAATAAACAAATCTGTACTTCATCTAGTGTAAAAACACACCGATAAATTTATAATCATATATCAGCACTCATAAACAACACCAGTAAATCCAACAGAGAAGGACAGCTTTCCAATAAAAAATATAAAAAAAAAGAGATGAAAATTGCGCATATTTTCTGGATCGTTCGGGAGTGACGGTTCAATTTCACCATGCCTCACTTCGTGAGTCAACGCCTTCACTGACACCTAGGATATATTGCCTCCTTCCTGAGGATCCAGCCTGCCAGTTACCCTTCAGTGTCTTTTGATATTACTTGATGGATATTATCTTTCTTTTACTACATGTTAATACTAAACATACTGTCCAAGTACACCTGATGATGTCATTATTATTTATGCAATCCTAGTACAGCTAATGATGTCTTTATTATTGATGCTGCTCTTACTGTTGATGCTGTCCTAGTACAACTGATGCTGTCTTTAGTATTGATGCTGTCCTTGTACAACTAATGCTGTTATTGTTTTTGATGATGTCTTTATTATCGATGCTGTCTTAGTACAGCTGATGCTGGCTTTATTATTGATGTTGTCTTATTACAACTGATTCTGTCTTTATTATGATGCTGTCTTAGTACAACTGATGCTGCCTTTATTATTGAGGTTATCTTTATAATTAATGCTGTCTTTATTATTTAATGCCGTCTTTATTAATGATGCTGTTTTAGTATAACTAATACTAAGTTTATTATTGATGCTGTCTTCGTATTACTAAATCTGTCTTTATTATCCATGCTGTCTCAGTTCACAAGATGTTGTCTTTATTATCGATGCTGTCTTACTATAACTGATGCTGTCTTTAATATTAATGCTGTCTTAGTACAACTACTGCTCTATATATTACTGATGCTATCATAGTACAACCTATGCTGTCTTTATTATTGATGCTGTCTTATTACAACCTATGCTGTCTTTATTATTGATGCTGTCCTATTACAATTTATGCTGTTTTGTTACAACTGATTCTGTCTTTAGTGTTGATGCTTTCTTAGTACAACCTATGCTGTCTTATGACAACTGATTCTTTGTTAATGATGCTTTCTTAGTACAACCTATGCTATTGTAATGATTGATTGTCAGTCCAAACCTTACAGCCCAGAATTATGCCGCATATAACAGCAAGTACACC